GGTTCAGCGGAACAATTCAGCTGAATTGTCAAACCAATTCAGCTGGCCGGGATGGTGGAGCCTGTGCCCCTCTCCTCCTGCTGTGTGGCACGTGTCCCCAGCCTCTTCTTCCGCTGCTTCTGCCAGAGGACATTGTGCCCCAGAAGCTGTCACCACTTAATTGCAGCTGCTCCTCCCTGCGAATGAGCGCGTGGTGGATATTCACTGCGGATTAGCCTCCTGACCCCGGGGTGTGACCGCCTGGGGAGGCCGGGTGGGGAGAGGAGACGGAGAGTGCAGCCTGTGCCCCCTCGTTGTGTGCGTCTGCTGCTGGGTGGCTTGTCACAAACCATTCGGTCCATGCCGGAGACGAGTGCTTGATGCTTGCGTGATGACCCTCCCCAGCCCTGCTCCCCCCGTGCTTCCTCTCCCCTCTGTCTTGGATAGAGCTGACTCCAGAGCGCTGGGAGAGGGGATAGCTTGCACCTCTTGGAAGAATCCCTGAATGGCAGCCAAGAGCTGCACAAAGCACACCAGCGATGCCTCAGGTCGGACCTTCACAGGCCCAGTGGGGCACCTTCGTGTCCAGCCAGGGAGACAGAGGGAAGGAGGACTCAACAATGTATTCATCATGCTGCTGTATTCATATGGCTAGTCCTTCCCCAGAAGGTGGTACAGCCCTGGGGTAGCCCACCAGAGAGATTTCTGTCCTTGGAAGTATGCAAGACATGGCTAGACAAAGCCATGGCAGCCTTGATCGCATGTTGAGAATAACCAGAGACATTGAGGTCCCTCCTCTGGATCTCTGAAGGAAGTTCTGTCAATCTCCCTCCTCTTTTTATAATTTCTGTGGAGAGCTGGTCATTTCAAAATGCTGCCCCCGATTTCAGTTACTGCAGTATCCTCAGTTCTGGTTTTTATCCTCACTTCTGCTTTTTGTTGCCATCCACAAGCCTGTTTCTAGTGTCCATGGTTCCTTCTGCTCATCTTTCATTGCCCATGCTGTGTGTATGACTATAGGATGCATAAGGCCAAGATGGTAGGAGAAGCCTGCCTGTCACATGCCTCTGTCAGAGGAACATATGCTCCTGGAAGAAGCTGTTCAGCTCCATTCTCCTTGATTACCCGGGAGGGGACGGAAGGCTACAGGTGCAGAGATGGGGTTCCCCTTGAAGAAGATCCTCTAGCCCTTGTTCATGTGCTATTTCCACTGAACATTGCAAGACCAGGCATTTTCCCAGGTCGTGTGGTTGCAGACCACACAACCTAAGCAGCAGCCAAAGTCGTCTTCGCTGAGATGAAAGGAATAGGTGTAGGCAGAGCAGCCCGGCTGCAGTATGGTTCACCATGCCAGTCACCCTCAGGATCCAAGAACAGGAACATTATCAATTAAATAGGTTTTATTGCCACTGTATTCATCTGTGTTTCACCTCTCACAGGTGATAAATGCTATCGAGCAGGACTATCGGCTGCCACCGCCTATGGATTGTCCAAATGCCCTGCATCAGCTAATGCTTGACTGTTGGCAGAAGGATCGAAACCACAGACCCAAATTTGGGCAAATCGTCAACACCTTAGATAAAATGATCCGAAATCCTAACAGCCTGAAAGCCATGGCACCTCTCTCCTCTGGGTATGTATCTCTGTCTTCCTTTTGTCCTTTGGCTTCTATTTGCAGATCTGCTGTCCTTTGTGTCCTGTTGGGCACCATCCTTGCATCTCTCTAGGCTACCTGTTTTAGAGGCACCTCTAAAATCCCACTGATGTCTCCTGTACGAACTGATCCAGAAAGACTTTGATGCCCTACACAATCCTTCCCTCATTTGAATGGTGCAGTGCAGGCACTGTGAATGGTGCTGGTCCAGGTCCCTCCAGCTGATGGAGGGTGCAGAAATACACATGCTTGACGCCGTTTGTTCCGTTCATTCCCCATTTCTGTGTTTCAGGATGAACCTCCCCCTACTTGATCGCACAATCCCAGATTATACCAGCTTCAACACTGTGGATGAATGGCTGGATGCCATCAAGATGAGCCAGTACAAGGAGAGCTTTGCCAGTGCGGGCTTCACCACCTTTGATGTAGTGTCTCAGATGACTGTAGAGTAAGTGCCCAGGCTTCTAGTCCCAAAGCACAAGGAAAAGTCTCAGTAGTTTAACAATAATTGGTCATTACTGAATTAGTTTTTATTTTCACATGATGTAGTTTTACTTTTATAGAATTTGTTGCTTTGTGGACCCACTTTTAGTCTAAATAGACTCTGTTCTGTAGGCTCTTTGTCTCCACACTGAGTGTCTGTCTGTAACTCTGTATCTGCAGAATTCATTTCCACACTATCATGCTGCATGTCCCCACTGTGAAAACGAAAACCACAACAAGGGTCTCCAAAACCCCAACATGGAACAAATGGAGATTTCAGGCTGGCATTGGGCAATTCTCCAGCCACTCAAGAGCCCCTTTTAGACTCCACAGTGCTCTTGCATGTATGGCTTATTGGTGATGGAGACAAGCATGCTGCAAATAAATATTTGCCTAAGAAAGGCATCTGAAAGTCCAGATGGTTTCAGATTTGTTCTGAATTGTCCTGCATCTGCTAAAAACATCCCTCAGTGGCAAAATCTTAGCAAGTTCTTCAGAGAAAGCAGGCAGCTGAAATCCATTCGTGTGGGTTTTTGCAATCCCTTGGGTCTAGCTGGGGCTTTGATGCCTCTGGTGAAAGATTTGTGGTTGGTTGCAGTTAGCTTTAGAAACCCTGCTTAAGAAAATGCCAAGCATTAAAGCCATCTGTAAGTGCTACAATGCCTCTGAGCCCGGTAACCAGGAAGGTTTTTGGATTTGGTGCCTAATTCCAGACTTTAAATCTACCAATGGATCAGAATCTGTTCACACAGACAGCCAAACTGACCTTTTCTGTCTTTTTGTTCTTATTTGCTGCCAGGAAATTCACATGGCAATTCTGACTGTTTCAGTACATCTGTGGTACAATCCCAAGGCCCTGGGGATGATTTTGGCACACTGTAGGCTGTGTTCATACAACAAGAAGAGAGTCCATAAAATCTGAAGGATAGGGAAGAAGAACTTTGACCAAACTGTGATGTCACACCCACACCACAACCCAACCCTGCCTGGGTTGTGCTATTTGCAATATATATAACAGCAAACCGTTCTACAGGCAGTCCAGCTAATGAAGTTTGTTTTTTTCATGGACATGCTCAGTGACCCTTAAATGCCACTTCTCACGGTTCCTTACCATGTCCCTCACAATATCTTCTAAGTCCTCTCCAGTTGCCTTCATCACATTCACAAGGGTATCCTCAGCTCGTGCTCCCACCAGTTTTGACAAACCTCCCTTCCACATTTCTTACCTGCTTGGCTAATAATAGAGAAGGACACTCCAAGTCCTTTTTCCTTGGGAAATCATGCTGCAACATTACTTGAAACCACCTTCTAGTGTTCGCTGAACATTCTTTGCAGAAGTAGATAATCATGTAAGAGGAGCTGAATTGCCATTCTGTTTTCTTCAAATTTGGATAGCCAGAAAAGTGTAAATGTTTACTGAAGACTGCTTCAGTTCACCGAATCTACATGGTTTCAACACTGACCTGCCTGAAAGGTTTCTTACTGGTTTGTCTGCAGACTGGGACACCTTGGTCACCAAAGGATCTGTGTCCACAGCAGAAAGCTTAGGAAGCATAGGGCTGTGCAGGGCCACAGTCTTATTCTGATTTACAGACATGAGTGAAGATGTTGGGCTTTGTTCCCAATCAGAACAAAAGCAAAAGTCAAAGTGCCAAACTCATCCAAGGAGGAAAATTCCCTAGCTCAACACATCTGGCTGGGGCAGAGGAGGGAATGGAAAGCCCTTGCAGCAAGAAAAGGAGTCATTGTGAAGGACACCATCTGGGTGCCAGAGTTGTGTAGTGTGCTAGCAGGTTTCCAGTTGCTTTGCTGAGCAGGAGTTTGGGCAACGGTAAAGCTGTGGCTTGGGTGTTCACTCTCACACCGATCTCAGAGCACATGGGCTGAAGCATGCTCCAGTGGTGGTCTCCAATCAGTTACCACCAGCCAAAATGTGTAAATCTGTGGCGGAGCACCATGCACAGCTTTCCTTCTTCATGCTCCTTTTCTTTGAACAAAAAGACAGGGTCTAAAGCAAGCTCTAAAGCAAACGTAGAGGCTCATGTGCCACTTGTGCAAGAGGATTATTTTCCCACTTTTCCTTGGACCTCCATTTTGCCCTTCTTTGCCCGTTGACTTCTACTCTAAAACAGGCAAGGGTTTTGCCACACTTCCTCTTAAAAGTCTGTTCCTAACACGCAAGGAAGGAGAAAATGCAACTGAAAATCCTTAGAGTCAGGTATGGGTCATGTCTCATGAATACCATTCCCTGATCAGAAGAATTCATGACTGAGATGTATCCACCAAGAGGACATGAGTAGCAAATTCAGCTGGAATGATCACAGATAGGACCAACATAAAGTCACACTCATGCTCTTGGCATGACCTTTATTTTTCCGAGATGGCTAATATCTATAAAAAATAGCAGCAGTGCAAAAATTAGATTGCCATGATTTGCCAAAGGTGATAAATAGCAAAAGTTTATCAGTCCTTGGCCTCATCAGATCAAAGCAAAAGTAGCAAGAACAGCCATCACCTGCCGAGGGAGAGTGAGATTCACACTGATGAGGGCATAGCACATCCTCTTCATGTGTCTCCAGGGGTGGAAAAAATGGGTTACTGTGCCACAGAATGAGAGAGAGAATCCAAAAATGCGAGGATAGAAGAGTAAAGAACCTAAGGCTTTACAAAGACACATTCACTTACAAGCAGCGAGCACAGCAGTATTTGGTTTCACACTCTCTATTGAGGCTTCCAGTACTCTGGGGGTGCTGCAGGTAGGTAGCAAATGCAAAGATTCAGAGGATAAGCGAGGAAGAATCAAAGAGAAAGAATCGAGGTTTCACCAGGTTTGCATGCATTTGTTGCAGTTATGGAATAAATCTGTGGTGGCTTCAGCTCCCGACACACCACGCTGCATGGGGACACTCACACATGGGCTTCTGCTGTGAGATGATGTCTTCTGATATTTATAAGGTGTTTGTTTCTTTTCCTCCCAAAGGGACATTCTGCGAGTTGGGGTCACTTTAGCAGGACACCAGAAGAAAATTCTGAACAGTATCCAGGTCATGAGAGCACAGATGAACCAAATTCAGTCTGTGGAGGTTTGATAGCTACATGTCCTCCTACTCCTCTCCCTTGAGGCCCTGCTCCCCTTTGCCCCTGTATGTCTGAGCTCCAGTTCTTGAGTGTTCTGCATGGACCAGAGACAGGCAGCTGCTCTGAGGATCATAGCAACAGGAAGAAACACCCTGTCATCAACAATGAGAAGCCGCCAAGAGCTTCTAGAATTTAAGCAATGGAAAAAGGGAACAAAAAAAGACAACTATTTTGAAAAAAACACTATGAAATATTTTTAAATAATAATAATAAAGCAATTGCATTATTGAAAAGGGCTCCAAGACCAATGGGAGTCTCCAAAGGAAGAGAAAAGAGCAGCTTCATCTATTTCCTCTTGCACAAGGCTGCTGCAGCTGGGCCCTGACACCTCTGGAGCAATGAGACTTTTTCAAGAAGATGAATGCAAAGAAAGGTCACAAGAAGCACTTCTCTTTCTCACAAGGGATGGCAGCTCTGGGAATGTCCTGCAGCCAGCAGTCCCTGTTGGCAAATGAAAGGGGAGAGAGAGCTGAAGCTCTTCGGTGCTGTGGAACAAGTGCATCTCAGAAATTGATGGACTTCTTCAAAAGCTGAAGATTTTTTTTAAAAAAAAACAAATAAACTGAGACTAGAAGAGACTGTTTCCAACAAATGAGGAGGAATCTGTAACACTTGGGTGGGTGGGGATGGGGAAAACCAATCCTTTTTACATCTCTTATTTTCTCTTGTCATGGAACAGTTTTGTGAGTGACAGTTTCCTAAGGGTCCGTCCATCCACCCTCCAATGGCATCATTGTCTCATACATATCATATGCACAAGACTTTTAGTGATGTCCTCACTAGATGCCAATGATCTTTTCCCAGAAGACTTCCCCAAGTACAGTATGTAGTAGTTTTTGATTGCAAATGCTGACGTGTACCTTTATTTTTCGGTTGTCATTGTTGGGAGATTTGTCCTTTTACCTTGTTTTGTTAACACCAGTTTGTGAGTTTGGGGTTGGAAATTTTTGGTTGGTTGGGGTTTTTTTTAACAAAAAAAAAAGACATCTCCAAGCATCATATCATTCAAGAACTTAAATCCCTTCCCTGTGGAAGGAAAAATTGCAGCTTATTGACAATATGAGAGGAGAAAAATTTTTTTATATTCACATTTCCTCCAGTTTACTTGTTTGTTATTTTGCAATTTGTCATGGCCTGACAGATGATTCTAACTGTTGGGTTTCCAGTTGTTCGCCAAGATGAAATGACCACCTGCTCGTTTCAGGGTTCCTGGTGCAAGGGTGAGCAGCATCGCAGAGGGTTTGGGGAGGGGGTGGTTTACAAGGGGGAGGGAAAGACTGGGGAGGGAAGATGGGTTGTGGGAGGGAATGATGACTCTACAGGTGGCTGTTGGAGCCCTTTGGAAATGTCTGACTGCTTAGAAAGGTGTCAGATTGGTGCATGTACCACAAAAAGGCAGGGTAATCCCAGTTCTCTAAGAGGAGCTCACAGCACATGGTTTCTTGGAGTCTGAATTGTGTTGGCTGCTGGGTTGTGGATGGTTCACTAAAGTAACCAAACTCTGCAGATGTGCTCTGTGCCCTTCAGGGACCCAGTCCCTTCGTTAGACGATGCACTGGGGCTCTTGAAGCATCTTTAGTCAACTGCCTGTTGCCGCCTCAAGGAGAGCCTTGGTCAGCAAAGGCAAAAACTCTGATCTAGTAGCCCAGATCTCTGGAGGCAAAATGCTATGGTTGAAGCTGAATGGTCAATCAGTGGATTTATAAATAACTGAAATAAATACTTTAGACCAAAGACCAGGTCTTTGGTATGTGTAAATACCACCAACCAAGTGCGGGGGGGATACAAATGAGAATTGGTCTTGATCTCCCTGTTCAGCACCACCTCATATCCTTTCAAACATGCCTAGCACCACCCACCTCTGGCCACAGGTGGCATATTTCCACACATCTCCTGGCCGCGGCCAGCATAACTTGTGTTTACAAGTCCTTGTCTGTCGTTGCCATGTCATTCGTAGGGTCCTCCACACATTTCCAGCATCATGGGGTGTTGAAGGCATGTTCATTGGGAGCTGGTTTGCTGTATTTTCCAGGAGCTGAATTCAAGAGGAAGTGTGGCTGCTGTGGATGAAAATCCCAAGCTGTCTAGACCTCTGTGGCCAGACATCTTCTCCCTAGACTGCTTGTAAAATATGAGGCCATTTATAAAATACTTAGCATTTTCCCCTTTCAGACCAGATCCAACAACAAAGCACTTATGCGTGGCAGCAGACCATTCCCTAGAAGTGAGAGTTAACTTCTCTGCTCAGCTCTTGCACTGTCCCAACGTTTGGTGCACAGCTTCAGCAGCAGGGGCCTTAACTGGAGGATTTTTCCCTCCAGCCCCTATTCATCTGAAATCTCTAGTGCAGGGTTGTATTTTCATTTGTATACAGTACCTCCCTGTTCTTGAATCCAGAAGTGCACCTGCAGTCATGTGAGCGTCAGTAGCCGGTGTGTGCTGGGTAGGCATGGCCAAGTTCTGTTCTCGGTGTCCGCAGCGCATGCCCTCTGACAGCAATGCCATCGCCCTGCATCTCTCTCAGATGGCAGAATGTGATGTAGAGAGAGGGAGGGGTGAGTGGGCTATAGGCGTCTTGTATGTAGGTGGTGCCTGAACATAATCAGCCGTCTGTCCTACATCCAGCCTGTTTTAACCTGTGTATCTAGCAAAGGAATGTTTTTAATGCCCTTGCATTTAAAAAGTACTGCTCCTTGAAATGGTGAGCACTCCTCCTCAACTCTTAAAGAGCAGCACGCAAAAATCTATGGTGTCAACTAAACCACACGAGGTGGTTGCAGAGAGCACACAGAGAAACAAGCAGCTTCTCCATGCACCCTGTCCTGTAGAAGTGTGGAGCAGCAGTGAGAACTGCTCACATGGTGCATCTCCATCTCGCATTGTAGCTGCTGTATTTTAACAAGGTACAGTTGTCAGTCTTTCCCAAAGGCATGTCTGAAGCCATTTGGTGGCAGTCCAGGGTGAGGGAAGCATGGTGCTGTGCCAAGTTGTCTAGCCACAACCAGTTGTCTATTTTATGTACAAGGGAGCTTTTGCAAGGAGGGCTGTCTGTCTAGAAAACTCACCAGCAAATTCCTGTGGGGCAGCCATGTGGAAGGAGCACATGATGCCCTTCAGTTGTCCTTCCCAGACAATTCTTGACTGTTCTCTGCCATCCCTTACATTCCTGCAGACACTGAGGAGGAGCAATGGCCAGGCAGCATCCCTTCAGAGCCAGTCATTAGACGGGGCTTGGAAGGGCACTTCAGGTCTTCTTCATTTGGAGACATTTTGTCTTAATGCACTGAATCTCCTCGCTGGCTAGCATTATACACATCTACCTACCAGACCCACCCCACTGTGAAGGATGAGACCATGCTGAGCTCAGTGCCACAACTCACCAAAGCCATGGCAGCTGTCTGAAGGACAGAGAAAGCACATCCTTGTCTCTTCTTCTGACCAAAAATCACATGGTGTTGGTACTAAAAGTAACACATTCCCATCTGTTTAATACCAGGCATCGCTTGTGACAGCTGTCTGTATTTGAGTGTGTAGGACTAATGGAGAACTGGACCTAAACCAGAACTGATCCATAAAACACTGCAATTTTCTGCATCCCTCCAGCTCTCCTGGGATCATGAGGAGCCAAGTTCCTGTAAAGTACTTCTTTGGTTGTAAATTCCTCTGGAGAATGCTCCAGTGGAGGGCAGAGTCACTGAAGTGACTTTAACATACTTATTTCATGGGTATCAAATGTACTGCTGTGAAATATGAGTCCAATGGCAAAATTCAACTTCACAGGGAGAACATGTAACAAGGGGAAAAGGCACTTGCTAACACTGACACTGTGAAATACTATTGTGCATGTGCATGTGTGCATGTGTGAATACTTAACAAAAATTATCACAATGAGATTTTCAGGCAGCTTGTTGCCATTTTCACATTTCCCCTCCACCTTTCAAGCTACCTCCCAGACCTACCCTTCTTCTCTGTTTCCCACTGCCATCTGCTGCTGAGGGTCACCACCCGTGTCTGGTGATGGCAGCTGGTAGGAGAGCTGAGCAGTATGCTACTTTGAAAATAGCGAGTTGGTTGGCCAGTGAGAAGCTGAAATCATGCAGAGCATCATGGGGCAGAGTGCAGAAAGCAAAGCATATGTGGATATTTACTATCCACAGAGTAGGGTTTAACTTAACTTTTTACAAGTTAAGTCTCCATGATAATATATTTAGTGGGTCATTTTCAGCTGTTGCCACCAGCCCTTTACCTGGAATTAACAGCAAAGGGGTGTGCCAAGCAAAAGGGAAAACAAACCTGTAAGAATCAGCACTGCCATGAAGAATCACTTGCCTTTGCTGCCTGTGGGGACACAGAAACAGGGTACTATGAACTGCACTCCCCCTCACCAAACTATCTTCTCCCCCTCCCCAGTAAAATCTCAGAACTAGCTTTCATAAACTTAATGCAGATTTGTGGTTTTCAGCAGCTGAGGAGCTGCTTGCTACAGTCTGGCTTCTCTCCATAGCATCCTCACTACCAAGCAATAGCTTTCAACGGCAGTCATCCACACATGGGGCTTCCGTGTGATCTGGGTAAATGTGGCTGTCACAGAGTTTACCGGTTATGCAGTATTAATTTAGTATTATAATTCAAATGTAGAGTTTAATTGCACAACTCCAGCCAGTCATTATATAGCAGAGTCATCTTGTTAGCGTCGTTGGACCAGTATGCACCAGTGTTAGCCAGAAGAGAACCATGTGCAAGGAGGCAGATTAAATGGCATCCCGTGCAAGGCTGGGGAGAAAGCAGTGCTACATCTTCATGTAGCTCTGGCTTGGAAGATCTGCCATAAAGGGACCGTTGGCCAGCCACGTAGCAGGATCCACGCAGCCAGGAGCAGGATCCTGCTCTCCTCACTGGCTGCTTAAGCACCATCCAGTGCAGAGTTGCCTCCTGGTCTGCCGTTTCATGAGCTAAGGAGAGAGGATGTTTTATCAGTATTAGGTGCTGGCTATACTAATAATGCTTTTTCCACACTCCTTGAAGTTGTTCTTTGAATTGGTGTTAAAGGAGAGGTTTTTTCCCAGTAATCATCACACAGGCTGCAGATTAGCAGTGGCCTGTAAAGAAAACCTCTTGGTGGGTTTCAGCAGTTGAGAAAATTTCTTGTTATA